AAGGATATTTTATTTACATAGAATTTAAGTGGTTTTAACATAATTCCAGGAATGTATTTTTTTTACATAAATCTAAATAAACACATACACACACTTTTTTAATCGATTTGCACCTTCCACGAGTATGTAAGAGAATGACATTTAAGAATAATTCCTTGGTGATCATGTTTAGAAGCAAAGCTAGTTACCTTTGTAATAAAGTACCCTGGCAGACGAGTACCAATCGTCAAACATATGACAGTAGTTTAATTGACTTCCGACAGGTGTGGATTCCCTGCTATATGCTTTTTCACAGAATCACAGAATCCTAGGGGTTGGAAGGGACCTCAAAAGATCACTAGTCCAACACCCCTGCCAGAGCAGGGTCACCCAGAGCACATCACACAGGAACGTGTCCAGGCGGGTTTTGAATGTCTCCAGCAAAGGAGACTCCACAGCCTCTCTGGGCAGCCTGTTCCAGTGCTCTTTACTCTCACAGTAAAGAAGTTTTTTCTGATATTCACATGGAACCTCCTATGCTCCAGTTTGCACCCATTGCCCCTTGTTCTATCACCGATCATCACTGAAAAAAAACTTAACTCTATCTTCCTGACACTCACCCTTTAAATATTTGTAGACATTGATGAGGTCAGCCCTCAGCCTCCTTTTCTCCAAGCTAAAGAGGCCCAGCTCCCTCAGCCTTTCCTCATAAGGGAGATGTTCCACTCCCTTCATCATTTTTGTGGCTCTGCGCTGGACTCTTTCAAGCAGTTCCCTTCTTGAACTGTGGGGCCCAGAACTGGACACAATATTCCAGATGCAGCCTAACCAATGCAGAATAGAGGGGGAGGAGAACCTCCCTTGACCTACTAACCACACCTTTTCTAATGCACCCCAGGATGCCATTGGCCTTCTTAGCCACAAGGGCACATTGCTGGCTCAACATATTGTTGTTTCAACATATCTTGAAAATCTTCCTCATTGTTGTCATATCACTTCTTTGAGCAAGCATTTAGTTCACATGAATCGTCAACAAGAAGCTTATGCATCGCTTAAGTTCTCATTCACTGATAAATTTCACTTTTTAACCTGTCCTATGGCACTTATTTGTTCAGCTCTCCCCTTCAGAGTTATTAGTGGAAGGAAATACAGCCTATTTCATGAAGTCATATTTTATACTCTCATGTTTATACCTTTTTAGTCTGCTGAAAATCTTCTGGTTTCTACCAACTGTTTTATTTTGCTTCTGACAAAGCATCAGCTGGTAACAAACAGCTTTGGCCCTCAACACATGCCTCATTTTCGTTCTGTAATTTTATCCCATGAAGCTCATTATTATTCTATACCATGAGAAATATCCCACAAGTCATTGCCCAATTGAGCAAACTATGGACTTAATTGTGACAAGAGAAAGAAGACTGCTAGTTGTGAATAATAAATCAAAGCAAGAAGTCAGGTAGCTGCATTCATGCATTTCAGCATGCTGGATGAATTTGGAAGTGTGGGAAATCAGAATGCTCTTGGGATACTCTTTGGGATACTCTAACTTTTCTTTACCCCAAACCGCTTCTTAATCACAAAGTAATCTAGTATTGGCAAGTGACAGCTTAGTGCCCAGTTGGCCATATGGGTCCACATACAGAACAACCATTTGTTTCATGCCAGGCTTTTGAAGTGGAATATGAATTTAACATTTGTATTGTAACATTCCTCACTTTAGAAATGGTTAATTATCATCTAGAATGTGGTCCATGCCCTGGGGAAATGTTTAGATGTGTCCTTAACTCTTTTAGGTTGATCAGTGCACCCAAAGCTGTTTGTTTTCTTCTGGATTAGAAATAAATCTTTCATTGAATACCATTCAGTTCAAGACCATAGCAAATGTGGAAAGGTTTACAGTGTTTTCAGGTGTGAAAATGAAAGGAACTCTAAAATAGTAACCAATCTGTCATCTGTGGCACTGACCAAACAAGTGTGGTTTGTGACAGGGAAAGACATTTCCAAACTTACCAAAACTGACGATGGAAGGGACCCTGGTCTGATTTGGAATATCTGAATAGCTATCGTGTATCACTTGAATTTCAGAGGCCTTATCTGATTGTGTCAGGCTGCTGAAGTTTCTTCAGAATAAATAATCTAATTGCTTTGTGCTGCCTGACATATGAGTTTGCACCTTGCAACTGGTACTTGTAACTGGGGAGTGTGAGTTTAGTATTTAGCTAACTACAAGTCTTGGGTGGCAGATACAGATTTTAAAATAACAATTCTGAGGTGAATTATTTGATAATTTTGTTAGAAAATAAACGTGACATTATTATTACTAACAGCATTGAAAAAAATGTCTTTTACATCATATTTTATTTACTACATTGTCATTCTTTTGCACTCCATTGAAACCATTCTCTTCTTAAATCTCAAAACCATCCTCTTTGATTTATTAGCTGCCATCATCCATATTCTTCTCTCTGCAATCTCATTTTCTCTTGGTTTCCATGACTGCGTTATTTCCATGGTCTCCTCTTAGCTTTCTGATCATTGCTTCAGTAAGTGCCTTAGAAGGATCTTTCTTGGCACATCTCCGCATTATCTCTTCCCTTTTTATTTACCAATACAGTGTCAGCTGCTTGAACTCTGTACATGCAGCTCTCAAAACTGCTTCATTAATCCAGATCTTCTTTTTCCCATCACACTAAGGTTTCTGTCTCTCAGGTCATCCCTTTTGAATGACATTGGCTGTGTCTTTACCAGCAGGTAGTGTGGAGTGGAGTAACAGGGGAAGATCAGGAAAGTAAAAAGGTGGTGCTGAGGACCTTCCTCCCTCATTGTGTGCATTGTGCAGGGAGGTTATTTCAGGCTAGCTGTTATTTAGTAACATGGACTGGATACCCACTAGCAGTTGAAGCACTGCTTGGAGCAAAAGCAAAGGTGTAGTGTTTGAGCATGGGGTTAGGGTTAGCTTCAGCTTAGAGTTCATGACCTCCAAGACTGCTCTGTGATGCAAACTACAACCCAGTAAGTGGAAACACCCTTCTGAAAGAAATGCTGTGTGCTTTCTGCCGCACTTCCTCTCATAGTTAGAGATGTCTTTTGACAGATCCCTATAAAGCAGCTTGAGGATTATTTGGGTAACACTCTACTATGGCACAACCTACCATGATGACCAATTCCCTGCTTCTTTTAATTAAATTGTAAATTTTCGATGTGTCATCTCTT